TGAAACTTAAAATTACAATTAATCTAGTTTAGAATTAAAGAAACTTGTCCCTCGGGACATATTCTAGTGGTGCAAAGGACGAGAGTGAGGTATACTCAATCTTGTTGACAACCGCAGTGTGAGAGTTCGATTCCTAAAACATGGATTGAGACTCATTGTGGACACCAGTGTACATGTAGCTTTTGTTCCCTGATCTGTTGGGGTACATTCTCGCAATTAACCTCTCTCACGATATTTCAGTGACGAAATGGTGGGGGACTCTTAAGGTAGGGATTCAACCTTTTTTTAGAATTAAAGAAACTTTTCGGAACAATCTTATCATTTGAATACATCATAAGTGATGTAACCATTTAACGTACAGCTAAATATTTTCTGTCAGTCAAAGACACGATTGTATCATTTATGAGTAGTTGTGGATCCCCCAAACTCAAATAAATTTTCTTTTTCAAATTTATTTATTTATTATTTTATTTTATTTTTTAATAAAGAAGCAAATATGAACCGAACGCTGAATATAGACCAAATGGAGGGCAAGTACGAACCTGTATGCATAAAGCGTCCGTGTTGACAAATGTAAATAAACAGCAAATACAGCAGAGCACGCAATCTATATTCTCCTCCTTCACCATAACGTCGTCGCTGTTCCTTCAAGAATCAAGAATCCATTTTTTGGTTCTTTACAGAGAGAAAGAGGGAGAAATGGGGAGAGAAAAAGTACATGCACTGTTGTTGGAGGATCTGGTAGAGAAGTCCGGCGGTTGCGCCGTCTTGGATGGTGGTTTCGCCACCCAACTTGAGAAACACGGTGCCTCCATTAATGACCCTCTTTGGAGTGCTCTTTGTCTAATCAAAGAACCCGATCTCATCAAAAGGGTACAGAACCCTGCACACAATTACATGTTCAGCAGTTCAAGTCTATATATATACGTATGCAGAACCTGATTGACTTGATTATTTGAACTTTGTTTTGCTGACTGCAGGTTCATTTGGAGTACTTGGAAGCTGGTGCAGACATATTAGTAACTTCATCTTATCAAGTTTGTTAATCTACATTTATACTGTTGATGTTTATTGGTTGTTATGAATATTGATTTCTAATTCAACTATTAGAATTTGATTGCGTGAGCCTAGGATTTAATTTGCCCTTAGTTATAGGTGTTATAAAGGGTTAATTACGAAAACTGACAATGCACAAATGATGTTGGTTCAATATATTTGGTACCTAATATTGGATATAAATCGAATAGGACAACCATTGTTGTCTCTCCTTTAATCGCGTGCAGTCCTATCTAGTTAACATATGTGTCTGAATGTGACTATGCACAATTGATTAGTTATTTCTCCACGGTTTCAGGTTATCAAAGCTTTTGTTGGATCTGTAAAAAACTCTTATGTAAGCTTTCTTTTCTTTGGCAAATGAATAGGCCACCCTTCCAGGATTTCTGTCCAAAGGGCTGTCGGTTGAAGAAGCAGAGTCACTGCTTGAGAAAAGTGTCACAATTGCAGTCGAAGCCCGGGATGAATTCTGGGCAGCAATGAAAAGGAGCTCAGGTCATAATTACAACAAGTCTCTGGTTGCAGCGTCCATTGGAAGCTACGGTGCATATCTTGCGGATGGTTCCGAATATAGGTTTTGTCACAATAATAGATTTGAAGATATTCCCTACAAAATTGATAGAATTTTTGGTGTCACTGATTCCTGCCTTTCTTTTGTTTCAGTGGGAATTATGGACCGAACGTAACTATAGAGAAGTTGAAGGATTTTCATCGGCGCAGATTGCAAGTTCTTGTGGAAGCAGGGCCAGATTTGCTTGCATTTGAGACCATTCCAAACAAACTGGAGGCTCGGGTATGCTAATATTTTTAACCATTTGATACTTAAAAAATTTCTGAAATTTAATACCGTACAAGTTTGAGGATCAAGTTGTAGACTTGATGATTTTGCTAGACTCCATTACAGAACAAAATCAATAAATGGGATTACTTATTTTTCACATTCTTGATGGATTACTGTACAATATAATATCTTGATTGATTCAACACTTATATTTAATGGCACATGGACTGCCATTCATGCTTAAGAAATCTAAAGACATAACCGCATAACATAAGCATCTGGATATAAATGCACATGGTCATCCTTAGAAATCCAAGAGAAAAAAGGATGATAAGTATCGAAAACTGTAAACATGTTACCTTATTCGTTCTTGTAACATTTTTGCTGTCTTAAATTTGATAAACAGGCTTGTGTGGAGTTGCTTGACGAAGAAAACATTGAGATTCCATCTTGGATCTGTTTCAGCTCTGTAGATGGTGAGAATGCACCCTCAGGAGAAAGCTTTAGAGAATGCCTTGACATAATAAACAAGAGTACCAAAGTTGGTGCAGTTGGAATAAATTGTGCACCACCCCATTTTATATTAAGTCTCATACAGAGATTCAAAGAGGTAAATTAGGCAATAAAATCATAAATAATACATCGAAAAGAAAATGAAATTTATTCGAAGCTGAACTGAAATGAAAATGCATCTGCAGTTAACTGATAAGGCAATAGTTGTGTATCCCAACAGTGGTGAAATATGGGATGGCACTGCTAAAAGATGGCTGGTGAGTAATACATTTACTTTGATGATACCTAATTTTCCGTGTGCATATTCAAACCCATTTTTGATTGCATTTGAATGTATGCCAATGTATCAATTAATAGTTCATGCAATTTTATTGGCAGCCATCAAAATGTTTTGATGATGCAAAGTTTGTGCAATTTGCCCCAAAATGGAGAGATGCCGGAGCAAAACTCATTGGTGGCTGCTGTCGAACTACTCCTTCCACAGTTCGATCGATTTCAAAAGTTCTGAAGGCCAGAAAATCTGTTTCCAACATTAGGCAAATTGCTTAGTTTCACTTCATAATAATTTATCACTCTATTTAGATTTTATTTCTTGAGATAGAGAGGTGGAAAAAGTGGTTGATTCCCAGCTGGAACTTATACCATCAGGCCTTTTGTTAGCTTTTAATGAAGTGGAAATGGTCGACTCCCACACGGTTTAAATTAATCTGTAATTGCGAGTCAAGGCCGTGTCTGCTCTGATATTATCAATTTCAATTAATTTGTATTCGGAGTAGATAGTCGAGGTCGTTTAATTTATGAATCAAATTACTTTTTGCGGATTATCTTGGCCTGATGCAAAAATTTTCTATATTATCTAGGCACATTCGCACAAGAAGATAACGAATTATATTGATTCAAAGGTTTCACCAGGAAAAAGGGAAAAGAAAAAAGAAGCTAGATTCACAGAAAATTAAACCATAATTTTCATTTGATTTCCAATCCCAAGAAATAAAATTGGTGCCATGTCAATGAAAAGCTACACTGTTTGCATATGAGAGAAATTGGTAAATGGTGCACTTCATTGAAGGATCAGTGTCGAGGAGGACCGCGGTCATCATATATCCCCCATGGTCCGGCACCATATACATCACCATATGGACCAGGATATATTGTTTCAGGACTTCCATTCATCACATTGTAACCCCCAACTCCTGTAAAAAGGAAAGTGATGTCCAGGAAACTAGGTTTGTCAACGTTAGAGAGAAATAAGAGCAGAACCTAACTCGTATCTGAGTGCGCGTGCTGTGGGGAGAAGAAAGAGAAAGCAGGGAATACCATGAACTCCTCGAGCCCTCCTCTCTACACTTGCTTGCTCAGCACGTAGCTTCTCTATTTCACGAGCCATGGACAGAAGATTTTTCTCCATTGATCGATTTTGTTCTACCAGTTCCTCGTTTCCTTTCTTCTCATATTCGTACATTCTCCTATGTTGTGTGTAACCGGATGCAGCAGAAACGACTTGCTCAGAAACAGGACATGCCCAAACAAATTCTTTCGATGAAACAATGTGCACTTGAAAGAAGGCATCAAGCACAACCATTTTGCAGAATATGAGACCAACTTGACCAATGCAGTAGAACAGAGAAGGCATTTAACGTAATTGTAGTTTATGAGATCATGGAGACTATGTTATAACTATTTGAAATTCATGAATTATCCACTTGCATTCAGAAATAGCACGGGCCACTTGTCCAATTTCAATGATCGTAAATTTATCAAGCACACTAAATCTATTTAATCTGTTCTAAAATATTTGAATAGATTTGAATATGCATTTTGAACCACTTTGACAATCATAGACATCAGTTTACCATAGGAATAAAGCAAAAAGGTTTAACAAAATTAAAGTTTTAGTCTTGTCCATACAACCAAATATAAAGTTCGGAGACACCACTATGTGACACCCATGACATAGCATGGACAATAATTCAGCCACTTCAAAAATTCATAATAGCAATGGAATGATAAAAATGGTAGCCATTAATTCCTTTTTCTTTGGTGTCTTGAGAGAGAGAGAGAGAGAGTCAATCAATTAAGAATCAAAATTCTTACCTAGCATCAACCAGCTCTTTTCCCATCTTATCAATGTCAGTTTTCATGGCTGCTATTTGCTGACTCTCAGCTTGCATTCGATTAATATCCTTTGTCAGGGTTTGAACCTGGGATGATAAATCCTGTCTCAAAGTACTTAGTTTCTGAGCTTCATCTCTTAATATCTTAACCTCTCCCCTTAGAGGTTCAACAGAGCGAAGCTCAGCCTCTAGTTTCAATCCTCTATCAATCAACTCCCTTGTTTGAATCTCTCTGTCAGCACGCAATTTAGGAATGACCTGACCTATTCCGTGAATCTCATCTTTTACTGCAGTCAATTCCCTTTGAAGCATCACATTGTCGTCAAGCACATGCCGGTTTTCAGCAAGTAGCCTTTTGATGTCTCTGTGCTGGAGTTCAAGTTCCTCTTCCAGGGCCACAGGATGAGATGGTACAGGTCCTGGTCCTCGATCTAAATAAGAATGTGGGCCATCACGGACAACCCGGAAATTATCAGGATGTCTGGACATGTGGTTCCTCCCAGCCATAACAAAGAATCTGCATTAGAGATGATGCAGGGGTTACCAATGAGTAATCTTATTCCCAATGATGCAGGAAGGAGCAAAAATTCGAGTTCATGTAAGAACTATAATGTTAAAACAAATTTATCAAAACTGTATCTCATATAGAAATATTCATGAACCTATCAAGTGGCTACAAAATGGAAAACTCAGTGCACAATCACCATCCCAGAATACATTAACCTTGAAAGGAGATCTTACAACAGAGTCTACCAACTCAGATACAAATGCACAGGAAAATACAAATGATTGTGCATGTCATAAAACTACAAATTTGCTGAAAAACAGTCCAACAGAATCTCAGAAGATAATGATCAACCATCCTCTCAAATTTACAAAATCAACTGTTAAATATATCAGTTGTCAGACCACTTTCTCGAGAACTTGTTCAGAAATATCTATATGAAGTTCAGTGGTCATGGGTATTTAAGAGTTAATCACAATAAAATGGAACAAAAGTAAGAGAGCAAGTAATTATTGCCTCTGGAGGTAACAGTGACAAGTATTAATGGTGGAAATTCAAGATTCAGTGCTAAGGTACGAGCCTCTGGGTGTGATTTGCAGTCAGAAGGAGCTGGATATAGTGAAACCATTGAAGACTACAAGACTGCTGAAATGTTCAAATTCAGATGTCTGCATAACTTACTCATAGAAACACAAAATTAATGCAAGCAGGGAAAAAGAGATAGCTGCTGAGAAAATGTAGAGTAATAAGTGCTACATTGTGTAAATACATTGGCTAAAGAGCAAATTCAATAAAAAAAAAACTAAAATTATGTAGAGAACACTTTGTAATTCACGTGAAATGATAGTCAGTTACTCTAAACCTACCACTTAACCGCTACAAATGTTCCAAGGAAAGTTGACAAAACAGTTGCTCAAGAACAAAGACCAGCAAATATTAGTAAACAATAATGAAAACCAAAGAATTTATTCTCCATAAAAACAAAATTATCATAAATGGAATTATTAAAATCAATAGGAGCATCAATTTTTATTTTTTTTTTTTATTTTTTTTATTTTTAACTGCCATGGGGTAGACAAAAGAAGTGAATGTACATGCTGTTTTACCATAGGTTATGCGATTAGAATTCTTGGAAAGCACATAAACAAATGGCAAGAAATAGATGGAAGAAGAGATTTGATGGTGGAGAAGCAATAACTCGAGAATAATCTTGGGAACAAAAGTCATTATTAGAAGTACATATAATGCAACCATTAGTAGCCTGTGAATTAAGTCAAATCGGAAGTTTCTAGGTCCAAGACATAAAGCTAACAGCTAATAAAATTTATGTGACTGAAGATTCTAGATCATTACTACGCTTTATCAAAAATACGAGATGACAAAGTAGGAGAGTTAATATAGGTTGACAATCACCATAGAACTTCTTTACATCTTATCTAATCAATGTGACATAATGCTATTACAAAGAATTGAAATCCATAGGTCTTTCGACAGATATACAAATGGAACCAAAGTAGTGAAAAAGGAATCATGAATCAGCTCCAATTTTACCAGGACAAGGTTGTTTTTGTGGTTGCATTACTAATTAAACCCACTAAGAATTCATTGTATAAACCACTGTAGTCTGAAATCAAGTTTTAAGTAAGAATGAAAAGTTTTTACTTTTAGGATAATGAAATAAAGCTTAATAGCCGGAGGAAGCTATGTGACTGAAGATTAACTGTACAAATATTTTTCAATATTGCTATTTCAACCCATTGAGATTTCATCGAGTAAAATAGAATGGATATAAGTAGTATTCATGACCTCAACGTGCATCCCTCCCTCCCATTCACAATCATAAGTAAAAATATAAAATCATACACTACCACCTTGTCTGAGCAAAAGGGATAAATGACTGTAAAGAAAAAACCAAGCTCTTTGAATTCCTGTTCCCCTGCAGGGAGTGCTGATTTATCACTGGAAACCCCTTTTTTACACGATCTTAAACCCTAAAAAAATCAACTATTTAATCCAGTATATAAGTGACAAAAGTTAATTAAGCAAAAATCTATAGACATCAAAAAACTAAAACTTTCTAATCAGGGCGACAAATTTCAACCAAATTTCTTTTGTAATAACTCAATTCCAATTAATAAAAAATAAGCTCAAGCTAAAATTTCTTAACTTTTCAGTTCTTCAAAGTACAAGTAAGAGAAGAAATTAACTGGCAATTCATGTTAATAAAAATTAATTCCAGGAAATATGATCCATGAAACACCAAGATGCAGGGAAAAAAAAGTTGATAAAATACAACAATTGATAAAATAAAGAAAAATAATAGTATTTAATATGCTTACAGTGTTGCAAATACCCAATTGCACATGGGATATATGTACACAGAAAAAAATGAAATGTAAATGGATAATTGTGCGCATAAATATGTGTTTTCGAATGAACAAGAAATCGTACCTTAAAAATTCAGGAGATTTTTCAATCGTTCAATGAATAATTGAGAAGCCAAAGTTCCAAAACCAACCCTTCATGTGCTGAATGCAAGCGGTGTGTACATTTCTGCCAAATCTTTCATTGGGCCTTCAACATGATTTGGGGAAATTGACCCAAATAATAATAGACGGAAAAAAAAAATACTGATTGGTAGTATGATTTTGCATTTTAATACCAAACAAACAGAATAAGCATGAGTCGAAACTAAAATGTGTAAAATAAAATAAAATAAAACAAAAAAAAATACAGTTAATTGTTAAACTTTGTGACATTATTTAAATATTGACTTTGAATATTCAATGTGTGTCTTTGACAAAATTTGGATGAAAGAAAAAGAATAACACCAATGAAAATCTTTGAGACAATGTTGATGTCAACAATGTCTTTGTTTAGCTAGTTTATCACATTCGATATCAACTTTTTTATTTTGTGCTGTTCACGCTACATTATTAATATAAACTATTTTTTATTGATTAGCGTGACGATTAGATATGATGTGTCTCATTTATAACTAACCACATTCTCAACTTGTTTCATAAACTGCAAAAATTTCACAATAATTTGAGTCGATTTTCGTAATATATATATGTGTGTGTGTCTTAATATACACTCGGAAAATATTTACACCCAAATTTGTAGAAGTAATCACCACCAAGCAACAAAATACTTAAGCATTTTTTCTAAACTATTAAGATAATTAATCCAATTAATCACGAGTTTAAATAATTATATAAACTTATATATTAGAGGCAATAAAGCAAATAACATTAAATATGATCTAGGGCAAAATCCTTTGAAGAGCTCTCCATGAAGATAAAAAAAACCTCTTAACAAACTTGTCAGTAAAATTCATTAAGAAAGTTAACTTACAATTAATCCAAGTAACGTTAAGGTTTAACTGACTCTGGCCACTTAATTTGTAAATCACCAAATAACTCCTTTGGTTGTGTAACCCACACTTCCCGACAACTTTGAGATACTTTTTTCCTCCACGTGAATCATCAAGAATGTACTCATTCTAGAGCACTGAAAACTCCAAGCGCCTATTCTCTCAAAGTTCAGAATTCTAAAGGCTTATAGGTGAAGGTAGGGTTTTTGATATTGGATTTTTAGATCTTTTGTTTTTTGATTTGTGACTAAAGTAAGAGAATATTGGAATATTGATTTGATCTTCAAAGGATAATCTCTTTACTAAAAATATGGCTTAACCAACAATAAACAATGTTTGGGAACAATTATTAAGAATTCATCTTGTGATTGAATCAAATTATCTTTAGAATATGTTTTGGATATTCAAGAATGTGATCTCTAATATAAAATAATGATTCAACACAACTTTGAGATGACCTAGTCTCGAATATTTACAATATGAAGTGTTTGAGATTGAATAAGAGTGAAAAATCTGTTAAAATCACGAACAGAATTGTGCGCCAGCGAGCACTCTCTAAGCAGTTGTTAGTATTTTTATCATATCTTTCTCTTTTGATGTCAAATTAAGGCAATTCAAAATGAATTGAACAATTAACTCAAATGCTACAATTTTTTTAGAAGTAGCATTTTTTCAAATTCAAATGTTTTCTATGTGAAAATTGCGTTGTAACTTGTGATTGAGAATTTGAAGCATGACTTATGTGACGCATTGACACTCTTTTGATATTTAATTGCATCCCATTGATCATATGTGAACTTCTTGGATATTTTTTACTCCTCTAAGGGTTATACTACCAACCTACAATTACTTTGACTTTAAGTAGGGATGGCAATCGGGCTCGCCGACTCGGGCCGCCCGTGGCTCGGCTCGGGGCTCGGTAGACCCGAGCCTAAGCTCGGGCCGAGCCCCATTTTGGGGACACGGGCTTTGCCCGAGCCGGCCCGTGAGCTCTCAAATGCTACAATTTTTTTAGAAGTAGCATTTTTCAAATTCAAATATTTTCTATGTGAAAATTGCGTTGTAACTTGTGATTGAGAATTTGAAGCATGACTTATGCGACGCTTTGACACTCCTTTGATATTTAATTGCATCCCATTGATCATATGTGAACTTCTTGGATATTTTTTACTCCTCTAAGGGATATACTACCAACCTACAATTACTTTGACTTGTACAACTCAAATAACTCATGATTTTGAATATCGAAACTATTAGTAACTAATTTGGATATTTCTAATTACAAATTTGACCTAATAGATGGTAAAGATTACTTGCATCAATATTTCCCACAAAAGAAGATCCAATTTTTGTAAATAAAATAATATAATGTCAGCCCATGTTTGATCCCCCCCCTTTTTTTTGGATAAAATGCATTATAGAATAGTGATTTTTTTAAGAATGTGTGATTAAAAAGTAAGAAAAATTTATTGAAATACGTCTACAATTATTTTATCGAAAAATGTGTGTTTGAAAATGAATTTTGAAAAAATGGGGCTCAAACATGGGCCTAATAGTATCCCACTAAATAATGAAAAATATGTTACCACTCCCATATCTTTTGAGTTGGTATCTTGTAAGAAGATTTAAAGAAAAATCTATGTCTAGTCGAGTATAATTTGCAAGTAATATTAATACTTCAATTTCACCATAATGATATTTCGGGACTAAGAACTTTTTTCATTTTCAAACAACCATCGGCGAGGATGATCTTTATCCATTTAAAATATTTTAAGACTTTTCACAGACATGAATATTGATTGATAAACAATCATTTTTAGAAATGTTCAGTCTGCAAGTCAAGATGGAATTTAAAAAAAAAAATTTTTTTTATACAATTCTTTCATCTCAAAATTTGCTAAGGCTATTATATCATATGCATTAGAATTACTTTGATTTGTGTAATGATATTTGTAATTTGATTGAGAGTATAGTTATGGGGAACGAATCATTTGCTTATGAAACCTTAAACATTTCAAAGATTTTCATATATATGTCACTTATTAAGTGAACTATACGGATAAACGGTTACAACATCTATAAAAGACATGTCAAGCCATAATGAATCAACCGAACTAATTAAAAATTTAAACATAATGGCATCCATCATAAGATAATATGTATTCTCATAATCGATTCAAGTCTTTTGCAAGAAACCTAATATTATGAGTTGAGATTTGTATAACATAATTTCATCATTCTGGTTTATTTTCCTTACAAAGGCTTGTAGGTATCCTGCATATGGATTACATTTTCGAATTTCTTGTTCGAACACTTTTGTATTGTTTTAGAAATTTAGTTTTGCATATGGGGCTTCTTTTCATCTTGGGCAATGATTCTACATCAACATTTTCAACAGATTTCCTGCAATATCTCCTTTTTCAATCAAAATATATTATTTGTTCAAATGTTCTTTTCAAATCTTTTGATGTTATCTCTTCAGTTCTCTATCTTATCAGCGTTTTCATATGGTCTCTTCAAGAGCATCGTCTCCTTAATGTGAACATCTTGATTATTTGCTTCCGTTGGATTTTTGGAATTTTTGTCTTTGGAACCGATTTTGCCGGACAAACCACATCTTGATCTATCCCTTGTTTGAGCCCCATTTTTTTGGAAAAATTCATTTTTCAACCGTATTTTGACATCATTTTAACCACACATTATTCAATAAAATAATATTACACGTAAATTCAAAACTTTTCCTTATTTTTTAACCACACATTTCCCATCAATACACCATTCAAAAATTCATTCTTCCCCAAAAAATGGGGCTCAAACAAGGGCCTAATGATTTGTGCTTCTTGGTATATAAAAATTAAAGTGCACTTGTAAGTTTTAACATTTATTTTTCTAATGAAGAATACCTTGAATTTAATTGTACATTGCGATGTTGATTGGAGATGATGTCAAATCTAAAGTAAATGACCAGTCTTTGTAATTTGTGGGCTTACATGATTGAGGTATCTCTTGCAAGACCTATCAAGTTATATTGTCATAATTAAGTGACAAGTAGCATTGTATATTGCAACAAACACAGTTTTTCATGAATAAATAAGGGCAATTAGTACAAAACATTCAAACCTTTCATTTTTTTAGAATTTTCACCATTATTTTCACATTTCAATGCGAAACTCATTATTTTAATCTATTTTTACAATTAAAAATTGTAAAATGATGATTATACCCTCATATTTAAATAAAAAAAGAAAAATTGAAGAATTAATTGCAATCAAAGTTTCAAAACAATACAAATGAGTCACAAATATATAATTAAAAATCAAAACTAAATAAAAAAAAAGAAATACAAAATAAAAGAAAAGAAATTGTATCTTCTTCTCCCCCGCCCCCAAACCCCATACCAAAAACCAGAAGTAAAGATCATTTTTAAATCCTAAAAACTTTGGCTAACCATTACCCAAAACGTTGGACAACCATACCATTGTAGAGCCCTTACTCCCATTTACACATACCACCACCCACCAGCCCTAACGCCACAAGATTTTAGTCAAAATCAATGGCCAAAATTAGCAACTTATCAACACAAAAATCGATTGCACCACCTTCTCTGACGAGACCCATGCCCTTTCCATCATACTGATCAACTATACTCATCAGGGCGTATCTATTCATAATCTTGCAACATCAACAAATCCACAAGATCAAAAGTTACAATCGTATTTTTTGAATCAAACACAACTTTTAGTGGTGGGACCCATGATCGCAGACCACCCATTCCGATATCATTTGATCACAATGCATCAATTCCACCCATGGTTCTTCATCAATTTGGCCTCCATATCATAGATCTAATAGGGACAGTACGAGCGTGCGAGGAAGATTTCCTTCAATTAATTCAAAGGTCCAGGGTGCCTCAATATACAAGTCAATCTGGGGGAATGCATATTTAGTAACAAATGACCATGAGTATTGTATCAATCATTCAATTAATCCTTCAAACCGTGCACCATCTACAAGCATATTGAACCCACTCTTATTCTATCAAATGAAGAGGCTATAGTTATCCAT